CCTAAGGTTATTTGTTCGCTCTATTGGATGTTCGGCTGTTTAGTATGGCATAGATGGAGACATCGATTACACGTTACTATTCTCTTTACAGATAACTGCAAATCCATATACCCTGTCAGCACACGGCCCCAGCGTAGGTGGGGCAATCCGGGGCGAAGGGTGAACTAAATATATTGTAAAAATTTCTCGAAATCTATTTTTGTCAAAAAAGGATCAATAACTATTAGTTTGCGTCTTCTTCTTTGATAAAACAATGAAATCGGGGGTGTAAACGGGAAAACTGGGCGCACGCTGCGAAAATATTAATCGTATGTGGGGCTGAACGAGTTGAATTTGGCCCCGTCTAATTCAGTGGCACGTGGACTGAATTAAACGGGGCCAAATTCAACCCGTCCAGTCCCATATACGATTAATATTTTCGCAGCCTTCGCCCCCTGTTTTCCCGTTTCAACCCCCGATTTCATTCTTTTATCAAAGAAGATTCAAACTAATGGTTATTTATACTTTTTGACAAAAAATAGATTTAGAGAAATATTTACAACACATTTAGTTCACCCTCAGCACCGGATTGCTCCGCCTGGCCCCGGGTATTTAGACGGAGCCAGGCGGGGCTGGTGCTGACAGGGTAGAAGCAACAGCGCGTGACTGTCGAGAGGTTGCGATCGGTATGTCTGATGAATATCGGCTTTTATCTCTTTGATCGTCCTGGAAACGAGGGTGGACATTTCGGCCGTATAGCACCGCATCCCGGCAATAGACACAATTACGCATAGCTTTTACTACTTTCACTCCCCGCGGTTTTGAATTTTCATTACGCAGAAGACTTGTCGGTTGTTTTATGGAATGCTATTATATAAAAATAACGTACCAAGCGCCATATCCTCTGACTTAGTTGTCGCTCGACGTTTTGTCATCCGACTTGCAGGGTGACGGTACGGTAGAATCGCGCAGTGTAGCTAAACGGGATGCGGTTACTCTGATCTTATTAGAACTAACCATCGATGGTGGAGAATTGACCCTATTACTCCACTTCATGAACGCATCCAAAAACCCGTTGAGTCGCCAGATGAACACGGCTTCAAGCTCGTAAGCTTGACGCACGCGATCATAGATGTCAACATGCCTATTTTTATGCGTTTATGCATTTCATGGTGTTTGCAATATTTTTTCGTTTGTTACCTCAATATCAGTTTTCCTACGCCATCTAAATGTTTGTTTACATTCCAGTCTCAAATTTTTAACATGAGAATTAACGGTTTAATGGAATGGTACAGTTGCATACCAAACACGCAATAGAGAGGTGCCAGCACGTCAAATGCACAAAAAATAGCGGCGTGGGTAAATGCGTGTCAGTGGACATTTAATGATTGCGCGAGTCCACACAACTATTTACGACAAGTCTTAATAAGTTTATTTCCCATGCGCTATCCGATGGGTGCAACCATAAATCGTGTACATAACCTTAAAGCAATCAGTTTTTGTTCAAAAATTTGCCTTCGCCTTACACGTTGTTTTTTTTTTCAAGCATCCCTTAAATAACTTTGTGTACCTACTGTTAACTGTTTCACTCTTAAATAACTGCCAAGCCATTCGTTGACAATTGCATTTGTTTGTTGGAATAATTAACATTTCAACGACGAAATGATTTTCTACAAACGAAAATTTATTTGCCAAGAAGGATATGTATATATAAACCACATATATCATACAACTTCAGCAAACTTCACTTTTGTCGGAAATATCAACCGCAAGCGCTCGTACTTTCGGCAATTTTACGTGTTTGGCAAAATACCTATCTCGACACCATCGACTACTACCGATGTTTCAAAATATCCGCCTCTTGACGTCAAGAACAACTGGGCTGGTTCGTATGTCAGGTTAGGATAAATATTAAATCCGTTTTATGCATATGACATCCTGGTATAGTGGGCATGTTCATTAAAGTGTACTGATAGCATTCCATATTTTGCCGTCAGATTTTTGTATTTTGCATACATAAAGTTTGCTTACTCTGAAGACCAGACACGTCAGTCTATTTAAAGCCTCGTGCGTGCACAGTGCTACAGAATCTCGTCAATCTGCAAACCACATTGACCGTTAGCAATGTCGTATGTTTCCTTTATCTGTCGAAACTATTGTGAAGGTAGATAACACGAAAATGTAGACGAGGCTTGTATCTTTATTTTCGTCCTGTAAATGTAATTTTTTTTCTGCTGTAGCTCTAAGGAACTTCTGTCTAGAAAAAGTATATTTGGGCGACCAGTAAAGTTCCCAGCTGACTGAGTTGGTTTTGCTTTGTGAGCTTTCCCAAGTGAAGCATCCAAATTCGAGCTTTTATTTTTTAAATCCAGCACTATATCACTATTGGCTTTTCAACTGTCTTTCCTGTGTATAAGGCCGTACAATAAAACGATTTAGCCGTTGAACCACGTAATAAAAAATCAAAAAACATACCATCCTGATAGACCTCTGGGTCACTTTTTTGGGACTTTAGTTGGAAGTCTCAATAGAGGGGTATTAATTAATACTCGTATTATATAATATAATAATGCAATAGATGTGTATCTTATGAAAATTTGGGGCCCGCTGATCTAGTAATGGAACAATCTACGTTTTGTCTTTGCCCTAGAGCTCACTATAGAGCCCGCGCAGGCATTCCCATAGTGACTTGTGGGGCAGGATTAAGTGGAACCGACAGGGAAAAGAGAGACAAAAATGGCAATTTCTGGCTTATTGACCGTCATCAGCCAGTCATACTCAGTCCCAGATGTGGATTATCCGGGATTCGAGATATATACCAAATGAGATTTTCTATGTACTGAAAGACGTACTCTCCTGCCATTTTGACCTGGCCTCATATATTAATCTATAGAAGACGGGAAAACGCTCTCTGTGACCAGTATTTTATTTGTCCGACGTTTCGAACTCTCATGCGAGCTCATTGTTATGGCATAAAAATGTACAGCTCACCGTCTATTTAGGTCAAATCTGCCGAGAATGACCTTCAGCTCTGCTATCGATTTTTTCGCGCAACGCGAGATAGGCATCAAGAAGATCGATATGCCTGTTAATTGAATCCGCGTTCGAGTGCCCTGCCTCCTGCTAGAGACGTGAGATTCGGTCGTCCGACTGACCCAGTATTCGCACCTGTTCAAAATCGAAGCAGTGCGCTGGCATGAATGCGTGAGTGGCTACCAAAAAAGCTTATCATTCCGTCGCACGGTGAGTTCGTGCTGGTGCATTCTCTTGAGAACCCGTTTGCCGGTTTCACCAACATAACTGGCTTGACCACAAAGGCAGTCGATGCGGTAAATGACACCGGACTTTTGGTTAACGGGTACTGGGTCTTAAGGCCGCATAAGCTGTCTGTGGATTGTTGCTTCCAGCCCGTGATCAACGCCAATCCCAAATTCGCTGACCAGTCGAGCGAATTCTTCTGATACACCAGCAATATAAGGTATTGTTCGCCAGCGTGTTGGTTCTGGCCTTCTCGCCTTCTATTAAATTACCTGGGCCTCGCATATTTTCGACTATTCAGAATATTTATCTGTGACAGCAGTTAGAAATGGCAGGAGACTACGTCTTTAAGTACGTACGCCTTCATAATCTTGGCCGAACATTTAATAAATCCTTACGTTTGTAGTACGTTTAATCGTGCAATAAATCTTTGCATGTCGAAAACGTATTTTGAGTCCCCTTGTTGTCCTTTATCGAGTGCGGGTTTATATTTGTTCTATCTTGCGATTGCTTATAACTAAAACTGTTTCTGTGACTTCTTCTTTTACACGGAAGCCCCCAGACTTTCTCGAATGTCCACTAATGCAAACGGATGGCGAGAACCATTGAATCCCACAAATGGTGGCTTCAGGCAGGATAAGGACGCTCTTGGGACCATAAACGTGCCAGCTAACGCTTACTATGGAGCACAGACACAACGTTCTCTGCAAAATTTCCCGATTGCTGCTGGGAAGGACCTCATGCCGGTAAGGAATAATTTACTGATTCAACTTCTTTTGAATCTCCAAAATGTAGGTCACACTGCTACACGCCCTTGCTCTCGTCAAACAAGTTGCGGCAGTCATAAATCTCGAGAGTGGCAAGCTAGCCAGCGATAAAGCCAAAGCAATCATCGCCGCTGCCGAGGAGGTCCAGTCAGGCAGTCTGGATAAACATTTCCCCCTCGTTATCTGGCAAACTGGGTCAGGTACTCAAACAAACATGAACGTAAATGAGGTGATTGCTAACCGTGCCAATGAGATTCTCGGTGGGCAGAGGGGTGACAAGACCCTCGTGCATCCAAACGACGACGTCAATCTCAGTCAGGTTGGATATAATGCTCGAATTTTATGTTGTTATCTTATGGCTAGAGCTCTAATGACACATTCCCGACCGCGATGAATGTAAGTGTTGTCACGGAAATTGTGAAAAACCTCATCCCCTCCTTGCAATACCTCGTGGAAAAACTGCATCACAAGAGTGAGGAATTTTGGACGTTAGTAAAAATTGGCAGAACTCACTTGCAGGTAAGCTTACATTTATTTCTGTGATTAGCATCCCTACATGTTTATGAAATTTGGTTTTCGCCAAGTTAAACCAAGTAAGTAAAGTACAAAAGTTCATGTACATGATAGTTTAGGAGTCTTAAAATGAACACCCCATACTGCAGTTAGCAACCAAATGTCAAATTTAAAGGAGCTCAATTTATTGAAAACTGTCTCCAAGTACTATTATCCTGCCTCTTACATTTGTAAACGTTGACTGGAGTTTTAAAATCTGTAGTAGTCTGGTGAAGATAATGCAAAAACTCCTTGATAGCTTACGCTAAGTTTTGCTATAAAACTTATTTTGAAAACTTTTCGGCATAGGACGCTGTTCCAATGACAGTTGGCCAAGAACTTAGTGGCTACTGCGATCAGCTCAGGCAGTGCATTGAAAGTATTGAGCGTCAACTTCCTTTCGTCTGTGAGCTTGCGGTTGGTGGCACTGCTGTTGGCACTGGGCTCAATGCCGCCGCCGACTTTGACTCTCGATTCTGTGAAGTTCTTACGAAATTGGTATCCCAAAATCTGTCGGTAAGTCGTCCATTTGCTTGGCCGTTTTTTTTATTCGGGCACCTGATTCACTAGCCATTAAATTGCTTTTTACCCAGTAATGAATTCTCATGATCGATTTCGTTGGCATATTTTGCAAAGAACCGCCCTTTTGACCTCTACAACTGAGGCCCTCGTCCCATCTGTTACGATGGATCGACCGATCGAAAAGTCAAACGGGAAGTGTAGATTGGAAGGGGGCATTATATAAGACTAGGCGAAATGGTAGAGAGCGGTCAGGGGGTAAATTTCGAAGTGACAGTGGTCATCGTGTTCAAATACTGTCAACATTGCGACTAAGTCTTCTCACGCGCGAAACAAAACGAAAGTACTATAGCACTTGCTGTTAGGAATTTTGTTTCAGACGACTTCACGCCAAAGTAGGTACAGGGTGTCCCAGAAGTAACTGACCCTTTTGATTTGCCAATAAAACGA